TCACCAAGAAACCCGAGGTATCGTCCGACCTGGGAATTATCGTGGAGATTGTGAAGGTGGTCGTGGCGCAAGGGTTCAAGGCTTTGACAACCTACCTACATGATCAGCCAGACAAGTGCACGCCGAAAGATTTCGCCATCCTGATAGCAATTCTGCAGAGCTCACTTCAAGTGAAGCACGTCGACCGTCTCTTTGAGCACATCGTCTACCATGTCGCTGACAATGACACCGCGAGACTGGCGACATCACTATTTTCGTGGGCTGACCAGCTAGCTGTGGCCGGTGATCCCGTATACGGCGAGCTCAGCATGTCGCTCCTGGTTAAAATGTCTACGATCCCTATGCTGGCGGAACATTTGGCGGTCGAGGTGGTTCTGTCTCGGCTCTCCACCTGCCGTCTCACGAACATCCTGCGCGATTCGAATGGATTCGGGCCTTTCGACCCTGTGCCCCGCCTGTATTCCATCTGGACCGGTGGCATCCTTCCCCTGTGCCTAAACCTTCTTTACCACGTTGTTCGCACTGCGCCCGAGGTTGCGGCATTCCTCAAGCAGTTCGAAGGCCAGCTCAAACGTGCCGCTGACTCTTTCGCTGCCGGTCGCACGACAGCGTCGGTCCACCGAATCAGTCTTAGCATGGTCTCCGAGGCATACTCACTGGCGCTTATCTCATACATCCTAACCCGGTTCCGTGAAGCCGGTGCCAGCCTTGGCATCGATGCGCAGTCGATCCAGGAGCTCAAATGGGACAAAGCTCAAGTGAAGGAGGATATTGAAGAACTTCTGGAACGGAAGCAGAATCTGCGGGCGCGGATCGTTGCGACGAGTGAGAAGGAGCTGGAGTTGTCGCGTCAGAAGCCGGTCGATGCAGCATCGGGAGCACAGAGTCGGCTGGAGGAGAAGATCGTGAGTGAGCTCAAGGCAACGTTGGCGTGCCTGGGAGGAGATGGTGACGAGGCATAATGACATTTAAGTGACAATGGGTGTTCATAGCTGTTTTCATAAGGGGTGCGGGGGATGGTTCAATCAATTTCCTTCCTTCTTTTCTTCTTGGTTCTCTCTCGCGTACAACGGATGATATTCTGGTCCATGACTTTAAAGGGGATGATGCATTTCTTCATTTCCCATGTTCGCGTTTTCAGTCTACATCTAGCCAGCATGCATATCAAGGTACGGACGTAAGCGTTTCAGTATGTCTCATAAATCCTAGCTATATACATCCATCATTCCACAAATCTGCATGTAGGGATGTGACTGCACTGCACGTAGCCGCGGACCCCTCCCTCCCCTTTTCCTTCCATCCCTGTCACACCTTGCTCAGTAGTTGTTTTTGTCGGGTTCATTCAATACTCGCACAGAACATTAAAAAAAAAAAAAAGCAAACTAGTACTTAAGCACCAGTATTTACTAGTAACAATTCGCCTACCTTAATAGTGACTTATAGTTCCTCCCAGCAGTACGACAAATGTGATGTGATAGTAGTGATCTGATCCATCTCACACACATAAAGGATCCTACTACTACTACTACTACTACTACGTGTACTTCCATTGTTCCCCAAGGTAGACAGACAACTCCTACATTATTAGGTGCATACATATAGTAAGTACCACCACCACCGCCGTCCGAGGTACGGAGTAGATTGTGCTCCAACTGACCGTAGATACTTACTGTAATAGTTAGTAGTCTCAACCCCCGCTTCTCACTGACAACCAACACACTACTAGACTACCTCCTTACTCTCTTTTTCCTTTCCTCTTTTTGGGTTATTCCCTCGGCCCAGAAACATTCAAGGAACCGAGGAGTCCCAAACCACCACAACCGATTGGCTCGGTCGGATGTTAACTTTCCTTTTCATTTCCAACAAAACCAACTGCAAATGCGGGGAAAGCTTTCCCTTCTTTTTCCACCTCATCTTACCTAAGGAGGAACTCGTAAGTGCCTTTCCAAGTGTAAACCAATGGTAACTAGTATACTTAGACTTTTGGGGGACAACGGGTATCCCGGATTGACCAGGGATTATGCGGTCCCTTGTCATTTCTTTTTCTTTGTGCTGTTGCTTACGTGCTGACGTGGATGCATGGATTGTGTTCCTCCTTGTTATGTTCCTTGTTTGTGGGGGACTTTGACTGGTCCCAAACAGAGTTTATGAAGGGGAATGACTGCATAGGGGGAGGGGGAAAGGGAAAATTGACTTCCCGGTGGGTATGTAGTAGCAGCAGTAGTAGTAAGATGTTATATCATATATACTACTACTACTTGGAACTAGAATCGCCTCTCTCTCTCTCTCTCTCTCTCCTCTCATTCTTTTGTTTTGCTTTCTTTCTTATTGATTACAATCTGTCCATAGGAATTGTTCCATATTTCTTGGTATTGCAGAGTCCTACTATTATATACTGCAAGGTTTGGGTGTAAGGAGTCCCTATTACTACTAGTCATCATTCCCAACTCGAACACCGGGTCACTGCGACTGTTATTCACGGCCACTTGTTATCCACTGTATGGGTCACAACAGGCTGTTTGAGTCGTTCAATCGGTGAATTTTTGTGCATTTCCACACATTTCAGTCATTATCCAGGATCAGTAGTAGTCTTACCGTGTTGGCAAACATGCCGTTCAAGTCGCGCTGGCAGATTGACATCCCCAACACCCATATGGCCTCGGCTTTGCTGACTTCGCCGACTCACCCCCTCTCCAAGACGCACCGCTGCTTCTCCGAGGCTGCTCGTCCCGACACACACTACTTCACCCCTCACGTTTTCCGTCTATGGTGTCAACGATTTGCAGCAGGCTTGCGCAAGCATGGCCTACAGTCGGGTGACCGTCTACTACTTTACTCCGGCAATGACTTATTCTTCCCCGTCGTCTTTCTTGGCACCATCATGGCTGGCGGCATCTTCACCGGCGCAAACCCATCCTACGTCGCTCGGGAACTAGCCTATCAGTTGCAGGATTCCGGTGCAACCTATCTGATCTGCGCCGAAGGCAGTCTGGACACAGGAATCGAAGCCGCAGGACTGGCTGGCCTCAACCGCGATCGGGTGTTTGTCTTTAGTAATGCCATATATGATGGCCAAGGAGGTGCCGTCAAGGGCTGCCGCTACTGGGGGGACCTGATAGCGTCTGAGGACGAAGGTAGCGGATTCGCATGGGATGACTTGTCCAGCGCGGAGTTGGCCGATCGGACTCTCGCCTTGAACTACTCCAGTGGCACCACTGGCAGACCCAAAGGGGTAGAGATCACGCACAAGAACTATGTTGCCAACCTCAGACAGTTCAACCACCTCTCCTACCTCAATCCGGATTGGAAGGACAAGCAGACTCGCACGCGCTGGCTCTGTTTCCTTCCCATGTATCACGCCATGGCACAGAACATCTTCATCGCGTCCGCCCTAAGTCGCGATATACCCGTGTATATCATGCCCAAGTTTGATTTTCTCAAAGTCCTCGAGTACACGGAGAAGTTCCGCATCAGCGATCTCATCCTGGTTCCACCGGTGGCGGTGGCACTGGCCAAGCATCCTGCAGTCAGAAGCGGCCAATACGATTTGAGTAGCGTGGAAAGCGTATCCTGCGGCGCGGCACCTCTAGGGAGGGAGGTTTGTGTGGAGGTAGAAGCATTGTGGGAACCTGGACGCATCAACGTCAAACAGGGATGGGGTATGACCGAGTAAGCTATCCACCCATTTCTGGTGTATTTTCAGTGGCGAACAACCTGCAGGCTAACGAAACCTCTTTGTGTCTCTCCTAAAGGGCTACGTGCTCTATGATGGGCTGGGACCCCAATGAGATAAGCGAATCGGCGTCAGTAGGAGAACCAAATCCAAACTGCGAGGCGAAGATCATGGCCGACGATGGCGTGACAGAATTGGGACGCAATCAGCGCGGTGAACTCTGGGTCCGAGGTCAAAATGTCATGAAGGGCTACTGGAGGAATCCGCAAGCCACAAGGGAGACCAAGACGGCGGATGGATGGCTGAAGACAGGAGACATCGCTTATGTCGACGACAGTAACAAGTTCCACATAGTCGACCGAAAGAAGGTGAGCTGAACGAACAAGAAAAAAAAAAAAATCACTGGGTCGCCACCTGCGATGCAGGCCAATATCCAATACATTGCTTCTGTCTCGTGTTGCATGATGCTAACTGGCATGGTTTCGCTAGGAGTTAATCAAAGTCAAAGGCAACCAGGTCGCACCGGCTGAACTGGAAGCTCTTCTGTTGGAGCATCCCGGAGTGGCCGATGCTGCAGTCATTGGTGTTCCAAGGTGGGTTAACAAGAGGGTTTTATCCTAGTGAGCAAATAGGCTGATGCGGTGTTGACGAATAGGAATGACGACGAGAGTCCCCGGGCCTATATTGTACTAAGAACCGGACAGACCGCCACCGAGAAAGATATTGTGGCATTCATGGATGGCAAAGTGTCTGCGATCAAGAGACTTACCGGAGGGGTGGTGTTCCTCGATGCGATCCCGAAGAATCCTTCAGGAAAGATCTTGCGCAAGGCGCTGCGCGATCGCGCTAAGGAGGAGATGCAGAAGGATACTGTCGCCGCTAAACTGTAGACGAATCCGCGGGGCCCTTCATTACATGCCGCACTTGCCCCAGGACGCCAAGTTGCCCGTCTAGTCGCATTGGCTGACCTAACTGTAAGGATGAGAGTTGTCAAATTCGGATATCGCCATTAGTGGGGTACATGCAGCGTAGTATTTGGAATGGATATGGAAACTCAATAGATCGCCGACGTGCGTTTGAAGCGAACCCGGTCCTTGGGTCGTGGGCTTGGAAGAATGGGGGTGGAGAGAGGAGAGTCGATCAGATCCCGACGATACTCGGTGATAGTACTAGACCCATTCGAGCAATGCAGATGAACGAGCGAATGAATAACAGTGAATGGAGAATGCTTCCGGGGCCAAAAAAAATGGCGCGGCATGTTTAGTGTAGTTGGTACTGGAGGCCAGGCCGGCCGAGGAGCCTGTCAGAGGGCAAAGACAGGGCAAATCTAGCGCCACACTTGATCGCCGAGAACACCGCCACACTGGGGCGCCAGACGATTCTCGTTCCTGAGTCGCCCATCTTTGGGGGGGAGAGAAGAATCCAAGGGGGGCGGGAAGAAAAGACCGAAAAAGAAAAAAAGTGGCAGCCTGTCCAGAGTCAGATGTCATGACTGTCTCATAAAGCATGAATCCACTCTGCAAATGGCGAGCTGATGAGAAGTATATTCATGAACCCCCACCGGGTCGGGACCCGGAAACTGTGAGAGTTCGAACTGGATCTGCGGTACTCCAGACGATCACTTTCATTTTCTGGAGGGGGAAATTTGGGGGGAGAAGGCGCAGCTGAGATGGATTGACGGGCCATGAAGGGTAATGGGGAGCGATGACACGAAGAAGTGATGAACAGACGGGCAAAATAGTTGAGAGAAAGGGAAGGATGTGAAGGGAAAGAAGGAAGGAAGGTAAGAAAGGGGAAAAGAGGCGTGAGTTCGTCGTAAACCAGCGAACTTCTTACTACATTCTAGATCACGAGGCCGGTAAGTTACAGGGGGAAAAAGAAGACAGAATAGTATGTGGGTGGGACAGGTAATAATACGCGCGGGCACCTGACCGGAGGAATCCCTAGTTGGGCTTGATTTGATTTGATTTGATTGTACTACGTAGTATGGAGAATTATAGTGATCAATGAACGGATGCATGAATTGTTTCACCCGCATATTAGGAGTAGTGGTAGTACTAGCTAGTAGTAGATACATACAGTAGATATGTTCAGTTCAGTAGTACCTGGTAGTCATGAGTATCTATCTACTACTTACTATATTCATCCCGTCCAACGACTTCTTTCTCCACTCGGTCTTGGTCGCTGCACTACTACTAAAGGGACTCCACTTCAACACGCTCGGTCTTACTCTGGCTTCAGCGGACAAATTAGATACTCAAGACGAGACTAGACTCTCTTCTCTTCAGTCCGCCATCTCTGGCCCCGACAAGGAGACTAGTGTTCGAGCCTCACCCGGTCCAGGTCGCCTTATACCGTCGATACTTGCTGATTGCTTGATCTGTACTGGGTCGGGAGCTTCTCGCTAATGAATTTAGCGGGCCCTTTCCCTTCTCCCCCCCCCCCCATCTTTCCTCCACCAGCCGATATCCTGAATGTGGCGCTTCATCTGGACAGCTGAACCTGCCTTGCGTTGAGACGTTCCTGGTCCTATGACGGGGGTGCATTACAGTTGGAGTCCCCATTCCCGTGGGTTCAACTTCCCTTCATTATGCTCTCGTGGCTGAACATGACAGAGCTGGACCTGGAGGGGCCACTTTCACATTATTCCACCCCCCCCCCCTCTCTCTTCCTCTTTCTCTCTTCCCTGTCCGTAGATAGCTTAGATCACACCTGCTGCAATGCGAGCTTCAAAACACGCTGCGATCCCACTACACGGGGATTTTTTTTACTGTAGATGTCCCTGCATGGTGGAGTCGCGCGCACCTTTCCTTTTCTCCCTGGATCTAATATCAGCAACAGACTATGGGAATTTCCCTCACCGGATCATTCCAGGACTGGTGCTTGATTTTTTTCTTTTTGATTTAGTTTGATGCGCCGTGCTTGCGCCATGCTGGTCTTAGTTATAAGTACCTTCCAATTCGCATCCTTGCAAAAAGAAGAAGTCGTTGGTTTTATGAAATTGTAACCACTTGGCTTGTCTTTCATCATTACTTCCTCTCTTATACCTCCCATCCTCCAACCCCATCTGTGATATTCTGCGACTGCTCTACCACAACTGGTTTTGGGCGTAACTGTCTGTCTCTCTATTGAGCTCTTCTACTGCAATCGTCGTCTCTTCACCTTCCTGGCACGGAAAGAAGAATACTATAGAGAGAGATCCCAACTATACTACTCGGTACAGAACCATTGTTTCCCAATTGCGCGGGTTACACAGCTCCTCCCCCTCCCCAAAATAGAAATTCCTAATACTTACTGAAACACCCTAGACAACAAATACATTTTGCATTATTTCCCTCAGCAGGAGAAAGGGAGCAAGCCGTGCGTGTGCGTGTGAGTGTTTGGTGTGTGCTGCCCTAGGACCCAGCACATTTAGGAAAACCCTGCAATGAGCTGCTTGGACAATGAATGGTCAATTCCGAAAAAAGACATTCGGATCCTCTCCCTCGCCATTCTATACGTGATTGTCAGCCTATTCTGCATTCTAGTCCTACTAGTTCAGCGTCTTCGCCGTCCACCACCCTATAGATCCTACGCCTACGTACCACCAGAGAGGCAAATGATGGACCCGCCACCATTTACGCCGTCCGAAAAGTGCGATCGTGGTGGTATCGTGGGTAGTGGTGGCGAAGAGCCCGTCGGCAGGAGTGCAGCAGTGGGCCTAGGCCTAGTCCAGGGCCACGGCTACGGCGTAGGCTATCTCAATGACCCAGCCTCCCAGGGCGTTGGTCCATTCCCTTCAGCCTGTGATGTTCTGCAGCCACTTTCCCAGCTGTCTCCCTTACCTTCTAGTGGTTATCTAGCGGCTGTCCTGGCCCGCGAGCGGAGCCATTGGACAAAGCAAGCATCTGGGTCGGACGGTCATCTGGTGCCGTTGTCGCCCGGGTGTGCCGCCTCCGCCCCTGCCCACGACCATCGTTCAGCTACACCCCCCGCGGTGAGAATGGATGATCGCGTCGGTGACTCGTCATCTGAAGCGCCAACTCATGGTTCCATGGTGGTGTCAGATCCTAGGCGCCAGCCCGGGACTCCTGCGCCGGTTCAGTGCCATGCCAACCCTATTGCTACTAGCCACGAACAGGGGGTCCCCAGTATCGCAAACCTTATCGGATCCCATCCTTCCCAAAATTGTGGCTACGCAGTTCAATACCTGCACGACGCAGATGAGGAGGGGGTGCGCTCCTGGCGACGGTTGATGATCGAGTACAGCTAGCTAAGCTGACTGATGGTGTGATGTTTCCTCTTCGAGAACGATGCATTGTGGGGGGTTTTTTGCTCTTCCTCCAGGATTTGGCTTTCTCTGTTTACCTTTCCTCTTTTAGTTGTGGGCTTCGCTGTTCAGTTTACCTGTTCTTTTTTCCTCTCGGGGACGGCTTATGAGGATTTTCGGGCTAGTAGCATAGGGCGTCTGTCCCGAACGACAGCGCCCAAAAGGGTGGCAGTGTGTGTTTTAGTTTCCTTTATTTATTCTGTTTTTGGCACCTACCTAGCTTAGCATTCAATGACGATTGATGACCTCCATGAAGATGATCATCTGGTACCTTTCCGAGCATTTTGTCGAAGGCAGCGAGTTTCCCTCCTGCAAGAGCGAGAGAGGGAAAGCGACTGAATCCCGAGACGCTCTATAGTCCCCGATTGCCTGATTAGGACTAGTGCAAACAACCCGCTCGATCTGGATGAGTCAGCAGAGATCTACAGGCCTCCCCGACACCACATGATGGAATGGCCAGAAGAGCTTCATGCCCAACCTTCCCCTCCTCTCTCTCTCTTCTCGCAGCACACCTAGCAGAAGCAGAGAAGATGACTCTCACAGACTACGCCTCATACCCGGACTCTCCGGATCTCGCTGCTTTGAACCTCTCGCGCCTTGTTGCTCGTTTAGAGCATAATCTCCTCTCTTCAGCCGCGGATCTGAAGCCACTACGCCGGTCAGAATACCAGCGCATGAGAGTCGGAGCAGTACGTCCTCGCGCCTTTCCTTTACCCGACACTATCCATCGCGTTGCATCGTGGGGAACACAGCTACAGCCAGCATCTTGACTTTTGACTAACCTTCCACCAAAGAACATAGAATACGCCCGCACCAACCTCCAAACCCTCGAACGCACCCTTCCCCAGATCAAGCCCACCGACCGTCGCAATGACCTGCAGACCGACCTCGCACGCCAACGGCAGATCCTCAAACAGCTCCAGATTGTCCTCGACGAGATCAGTAGTTCCCAGGCGGAACCTCAATCCGACGAAGAAGAGGAAGACGACTCCCTAGACGGTGAAGACCTCCTCGATACCCCAGAGGAGGGAAGCACCACCGACGAACAATTCGAACATGAAGAGAAGGAGCGTGATACCATAACGGACGACCATGAACCAGCAACAACAGCACCCACCAGTACCTTACCCGCACCAACAACAGCAACAACAACGACCGAACTACCTTCACAAACCCCAGAAGCAACTCCCGCCCCGACACAGGAACAACCATCAACTCTCCGAAACAGATCACATGCACCCACTACCACCCCCTCCACTGCAACAGCCAGCGCAACCGGCTCCTCTATCCAGAAGAACCCTCCTTCCCCACAGCAATCCTCAGACGCATCCTCAGACGCTCGATTACAAGCGACAGAAGAGACGCTCTCCTCCCATCGCGCAGAACAAGAAAACTTGACATCATCTATGCTTGCGCTAGCAACGCAGCTGAAGACCTCAGCGCAGACATTCCACTCCTCCCTGGAGGCGGAGAAGTCGGTGCTGGCTCGCGCGGTGGATGGGATTGATCGCACGGCGGGGAATATGAAGGTTGCGGAGCAGCGTATGGGGATGTTGCGGAGGATGACGGAGGGGAAGGGCTGGTGGGGACGGATGATGCTGTATGCGTGGATCTTCGGGATGTGGGTGGTGGCTATTCTGATCGTGTTCTTGGGGCCGAAGCTGCGGTTCTGATTTTGATGGGAGGCGTAGGTGTCCTCCATCGGGGAGGGAGTGCCAAGTAACAGTAGTAGATAGCACTATCCGCTGGGCGGAGATTGAAGCTGAACCTGGGTCTAGTCCTAGACACCTTGTGTAGATACATGCTGATAATTGATAAACTATTCCTATCTTGTGCAAATATTTATTTAACGGATCAAGCATTTATTCTAAAAGTTCTTCCATTGTACACCGACTCTACGCGGAAACACGAATTTTTTAACAGAAGATATATTTCACAATCCTTTAACTCTGACTATAACCCAATGACCGACCCGGCATGACACATGAGAAAATGACATGAATATCAGCGTACCCTGTCAATCTCCCGTGCCCGTGGCCTTGTCGTCGTTCATTGCCCTCCAATGTACGTGAGACCAATATGGAAGAATGCGTGATATATGGTTACACACAGAATTGCGGACGAGGGGCACCAAGAGATGATGGGATATCCAGCTGGGGAAAAGAAGACACAGGATAGAAAAGGAAAAGCGGAAAGAGGGGGTGGAGGGTAACGCGAACACGGAGGGAGGTAGACCAGAAAACGACGCGGGAATCCCATATAAGTGAAAAGGAAAAAGAAGACACGCAAGCACGGGCTCTAATTATCTATGAATTCCGATGGAACCACAGATGACCCGCTGCTCACAGAGAAGAGAAACAGAATGGAAAGTGCAAAGGTAAAACAACTCCTGCTCTGTGTCATGGGATGGATATCGGTAATGCTGATAACAAAGAGCCGGCTAGATATCATTTCAAGACAAAGGAAATAGGGAATTAGTAAAATAGACAAGTGAATGTCTCAACGCCAGGATCTCTCAAAAGGGAGGAAAAAAAAGAACAGATTGCGACATGGTATGGCAAAAAGCAAAACAGACAAGATTACAAGTCACATAGCATACGGTCTAAATGTCGAGAAGTTCTCACTCGAGCGAAATATACCGGTCATTAGATCAGACCACACAGTCTCAGGTTTTCTTGGATGATGATGTCTAGAGGAAGTCAGTATCTGGAAGCACGGAACCATTCAAAAGGGGCATGCAAAACATACCGTTAACTGCGGCCATAACGAAACGGATCTGTGTGGTATCCGTAGCACATGTGAAGTGAGTGTAAATCTGCTTCTGCTCGGCTTGGTTGAGAGAGACAAAGCGGTTGAGGATGTAGTCGCAGGCGGCGGCGTAGTCAGCACCACCCTCGTAGTCGGGGAAGTAGTTCTTCATCGGGCTGACGGGCAGCTTCTCCTTGAAACGATCGATCTTGTTCAGGAAGAGAATGATGGAAGTCTTGACAAACCACCGGGAGTTGCAGATGGAGTCGAACAAGGTAAGAGCTTCCTGCATACGGTTGACAGTCTCGTCCTCGAACAACAGCTGGTCGTATTCGGAGATGGCGACCAGGAAAAGGATGGTAGTGACGTTCTCGAAGCAGTGGATCCACTTCTTACGTTCCGAACGCTGACCACCAACGTCGAACATACGGTAGGTCAGATCGCCGATGATGAAAGTAGTCTCGGTGATACCGGTGGTCTTGACACGAGAGCGGAGGACATCCTGGTCGGTGGGGAGGTAATCGGGCTGCGCGATACGGTCGATGGCATCGAAGTAGCTAAGGAATCGGTTAACAAAGGCTCCCGACGAGCCCGAGACAGACGCGGGCACTTACTACTTGGCGGAATCGTTCAGCTGGTATTCACGAGACCGCTTGAAGCACTCCTGCACACCGCTGTCGCGCCACAGAGCGCCAATGGCATTGCCGACCTCCGGGGGCAGGTTGTCGCCTTCGATCTGAGCAGGCTGCATGAAGACGGTCTGCACGTGGTACTCATTGCGAGCATCCTCCAGAGGCAGCTCCAGCGACTCCATAGCCTCCAAGATGACGCGCATAGACTGGACGGTGTTGCTGTAGATGATTTCCTTGAAGGACTCGCGCTCATCGCGGGAGTAGCTGCCCTCATGGATCAGCTTCATCTGCTTGAGGATGGTCGATTTTCCGGACTCTCCAGCACCTGTTTCAAGACATCGTTAGTCTTGCGTCCCAGCGAAGGCACTGCGAAACATGCACGGGGAGAGGAGGCGCATACCCAGCAACAACATCTTGATCTCGTTCCGCTGCATCATCTTGTCCCGCTTGAGCTGGTTCTCAATCTCCTCGTTGCGGGCCTTGCCCTCCTTGTCTTCGGTACTCATTCCACAACCCATTTTGGCGGCTATTAATGAACGTGGGAGTGATGGATGAAAAAGTCTAAATGTGTAGCGGGGGTGGAAAAGGAGTAGGTGGGCGGGTGGTAGTGAACGTCAAGAGTAACGAGCCTGTCCGCAGGGAAAGATGTCAGTCAGCCATGGGAAGCGAATTCTCCGTGTATTGTAAAATTGGATTTCAACCAGCCCCTTGCCCCGTCGACCGTGGGCGAACGCGGAAAGAACCACAATCGGACACCCCAAGAAAAACAATCGAATGAACGATGCACGATTTGATTTTTGAGTGTCGGAAAAGGATCAGAACCAAAAGCCAGCAGTCTCCCCAGAGATCGTGCTGACGCAAGGAGGTGCAGCTGATGCGTCAACCGGAAGGCTTGGGAGCACCGTTCACCATGAGGGAGGGATTCCGGGGCACAGAGGAAGCGCAAAGAGGAAAAGGAACAACGACGTGAAAGGGGCCACTCACTTTGCTCGAGAACTTGATATATCAAACTCCAACTGGGGAGGAGGAGAAAGAGAAGAATGGAATTAAACCGGGGATGATATTATTACTAAAGGCCAAGCGGACGCAAAGGAACGGGCGGCAGGGGAAAAATCAAATATAAGCGCGGAGCGTCTGGGACTAGTAGGCGGAAAGGAGGCGAAAGGAAGGTGGAACAGCGAAATACACCAATCGCGGTGATTTCAGCAAGGATAATCCAGAGAAGTTGGATGGAAGAGGATAGCGAAAGGAGAAGTAGTAAGTAAATAATAGAGAAAAGAATTGGATGAAAAAGTAAACCCAGGGATTCTTCGGGGAGATGTTGGTTCTATCCCGATCCGTTTGAGAAAGTTGGGGTTTGAAAGGAGGAGAAGGAAGAAGAAGAGGAAGAGGGAGGGGGTGGGTGGTGGGAATAGATGAGACAAGAGATCGAAAGGGAAAAGAAAAGAGAGAGAGAGAGAGAGAGAGAGTAAAGCGAGCGAGGCTGAAGGGCCGGAGGGAAAGGATTAAGCTCAACAGGTTGTAAGGGGGGGCAGACTTTCAGCGTGAGTGAGTCGGGCAACGGAAAAAGAGGGGCCAAGACGAGATCCTGAGGCAGTCCCGAGAGCGTGCCAAAAAAGACGAGTAAGAGAGCGTGTGAGAGTGTGAGGGAGAGAGACTACGACGAACTAGCCTGGAGAGCAGACAGACCCGGGAAAAGGAGGGACTGATTGGGGGAAAACCTGAGGAAGAGGGGATTAACTAAAGAGAACGCAGCAGGCTGATACGCCGACTCCATCACTACCGGGTGCCGGTACCTGCTGCTGCTAGTCTACTAGTAAACTAAGTAGGTATTCTAGTACCAAGTGAGTATTGGGGGGGGGGGGGGGGGGGGGTGTGGGTGAAGGCTGAGGAAAAGGTTTTTCCTCTTCTTTTTCGATTTCGATTTTGATTTTCCCTAATAAAATTTTTATAAAACTTTTTTTTTTACCCTTTTCTTTTTCTCCTCCTTCTTCTTTCTGCCATTGACCATTCCCGCTTTTTTCTGGAACGATAAGCTGACCCGGTTCCAACCTAAGAGTGACGATAACTGGACCACTTCAATAGGGGCAGTGGAGTCGTCTCGTTTGGTAAAGGCGATGGCGACCCAGTCTTTGGTTTCTGATTGGCTCTGCTGGTAAGGGGTGGCAGTGGAGGAAAAATCCAGCACGATCCAATGGAATTGCGATTTTAATGAGTAGCTCTCCCCTTTTTCGACGTCCGGCTCTTCTTCTACTTTGTACCAAGTTTGTGGTGCTCCAACTTGGATTCTTCTCCCGATGGTAAGACCAGGGCAATTCGAAAAGGGCATAGCCTCTTACATCTTAAATCCGAAAAGCCCATCCTAGACACACCTATGACTATTACTACCACACCATCCTCTACTAACTGGATACTGCGTTATAGATACTGCATGTCGGTAGCATAAGGCATGATCCAGCAAACTATGAGACATGAAAGAGGTTCAAAGTTAAATCCCATATAGAGTGGCAATCTTCTTCCAAAGTTGTCGTTGCCGTAGATATAATGATTAATGATTCAGTTGCATGAATTAATTTCCGGATGACGCAGATCTGCAGTGCGCACCTGTAGGAGATGGCCATGGCGACCGGGATGCCATTCGACAGCCCATCAGGTGTTGTTTTTAAACTCTTCAAATCATGTTAAGCGCTGACCTCCACTGGTGACGAAATCAATCCCAGATCTCTCTTGTCTCTGCTGCTCATCAGTAACGGACTAGACTAATCCTGCAGCAGTAATAACAACCACAGCAGCAGCAGGAGCCGCAGAAGACATCGTCAACAGTTCGTAGTAGCCGACCGTTTCTAAACCTGGTAAAGGGTGCAAGCTGGAAGGGCGCCTGCAGTTTCAGGTGCCCACCACGCGGTGGAGGCCCGGCACGCTCAGCGCCCGATCGCCAGGTACACCGCGCCATCATGGCTGGCTTTTCCATCACACAAAGTTACGCGGTCGGTTGGCTTGTTCCAGAATGTCTTGGGGGCTTGAGTTGGAAAAAGAGACAGTGACGCTTTACTCGTAGTGTCTATTCATAGACCGGACATTCTGAGGAATCAAACGTGGCGGTATCGTGCATGTCTGATGTGATGATATACGGGGTAGAATGCAACCAGCGGAGGCTACTACTGCAGCTCTACCATGTGGAAAAGGTGGATGGCCTCAAGATTGGGATGGGCATTAGCGTACGGAGGAATATTGTCGTTCCTGTTCCTACGGCCAGGTACTGTATGGTAAAACTCCACTTGCAACTGCCCGTCGATCGCTTCTCCGCACAAAAGGGAGAAAAATGGATAGGGAGATGAGAATCATGCATTCACAAAGACCCATTCGCTGCTCACCCATATCTTCTGAGTTCTGATACACGCTTGTGGTTTCGCCCAGTGGCAACATCGAAATCCAATATGTACTCCTTCAGTCGCATCATCTCATGCTGTGACAACGTCTCCCATGGATAAAAGAAGGATTCAGCGACTTGTCTCCCACAACCACCGGGCATGCACAGGCGGAACGACCCGCCTGAATCGTGCAAGATGGAATCTGCTCAGATATTGCTTGCTGGAATGGAGGTCGGTAACCGAAATCCGTGGTTCTGCCACTCGACTAGAGACCAACTTCTCCACTGTCTAGTCGCCTTTAGTCGCTTGCTTTTACCGCCCGCGCTATTCATGATGATTGTCGTCTCCTTACCATCGCGTCTTTCCCCCTCACCCCCCTTTGACTTGGGGAAGGGCCTCGTGGCGAGCTGCCTGACATGTACTCTCCTACCACTCTGGGTTATACTAATTATGATGAGTAACTTAAGTTACATATCCCCTGGAGGATCGCAACTGCTTATAATCGAGAACTCCTGCCGCTGTCGACCGATAGCCTAAGAAGGCAGCTCGGACTGGACTTATCCCCATCTTCGCATGGAGCATGGCCAGACTATTGACTTGGTTTCCACTCTTCACTGGCTTGGTGACCTTGGCGTAGACACCTTATTATGTAGACGCTTTTACTGACTCGGTTGTATAGCCTGGAAGAAGTGCTGAGTACGGTCAGTGCTGAACAGGACTTGATGGAGGTGGCTCAGGCTGCAGAAATGCCGAATGGCAAAGGATTGGTGGATGATGGTCTGGTCTGCAGGATTGTAAGTAAGCACGGAAATGGGCTGACAGGCTTTCTAAAGTCTCCCAGTCCGTTGCAACCCGTGATGGGGGTGGCTGACCGTGCATCCTGTCAATACGAAGAAAGAGATTGAGGAAGACCGTGCAGAGTAAGACACTCAACCCAAACCGATAACTAGACTATCGCCTACCGCATGAAGTTATCTAAGAAAGAAGGTGACCATGGATCTCCAATCCAGCCCAGCCTTTTCCCTGTGCGATTCCATCCACGATCCCTGGCTGGCTCATCGGCCAATCCGATCGCCGCTCCACTGATCCATCCACGGATCCAATTCCCGATCCATCTCCCAGGGACTGCAACATCCACTCGCGCGATCGGCCTTCCTTCGCAGTCTTCGCCTTTTGCGCTACACTTTTTTTGCGATCGAGGATATCGCATACAGACGATACCCGTAGGGATTTGCTGTCCGTCGCAGATAAACCATCACGTTATCATTACATCCGGTCTCTTCCGATAGACACCCCTTATTCGTCAAAATGCATGAGCATGAAATGTCCTACATGGGCCCTCGGGGTATGATCCCTTCCTACCTTCATAGCCACAATCTCCCCATAAACTAACGGCACCGATACCGAAGCCTTCAGTCACGATCAGAGCCAAGATGCAGAGGCTGAATATGACCGACTCCGCAACCTAGCCCGACAAGAAGCTTCAAAGCGCAACTCATGTTTCCAACGGGTACGCCATTGACAACCACTGCCGCAACCACCCAACCGCTCGCCAAATTAGAGAAAGAAACAAACAACTAACCAATATTTAATGGTCAGTCTCAAGAAGCCTACTCCAGCGGCGATGGCGCCAAGGCCAAAGAACTCTCGGAACAAGGCAAAGCCCACGGTCGCAAGATGGAAGAATACAACAAGCAAGCGTCGGAGTTCATCTTCCGCGAGAACAACGCCAACGGGCGTGTTGCGGCAGACACCATCGATCTGCACGGACAATTCGTCGAAGAGGCTGAGGAGATTCTCGAGGAGAGGATTAAATATGCGAAAGCGCACGGTCAGGATCATCTCCATGTGTAAGCTTCCCTTTCACGTTACTCTCACACACACTGGCTTCTTCTTTACCCTCGACACTGATCGCTAATTGTTACAATTTTCCCCAATCAATAGAATTGTCGGCAAGGGCAACCACTCCGCCAATCATATCCAGAAAATCAAGCCCCGAGTAGAGCAAGTCTGCCAGGAACTCGGTCTCCAGTACGCGACTGAGGAGAACGCAGGGCGCATTTATGTGAATCTGACTGGTGGACCGGCGGATATGGAGACTGCGCCAACGCCCAATCATCCTCACTATCAGCAATACCCTCAGCATCAACAGCATCCGTCGGGTACCTATGCTCACCCGCATCAGCAGCAGCAGCAGCAATATCCCGGTTCGCAACAGCAGCAGCAACAGCAGCAGCAGCAACAGCAGCAGCAGCAACAACAGGGTGCGGGCAACCAGGATGAGATCGAGCAGGTGGTTAATGCGGTTCTGCCTAAGATTCTCAATAAGCTGGAGAAGGCTTGCTGTGTGGTCATGTGAAAAGGATTTGAGGGACACTGGGATAAAGATTTTGTTTGGGCAAAAGAGTATTTTTTGGCCTATACATGATATGATATGTGGTTGGTATAGACAAAGAAGGGTGCGTGAGCAGACACGACTGATCATTGGACTTTCGCGCAATTGGGCATTTGGCGGAAGATTACATATACCCCGGGCTGTGTGTTGGATTCAGTATCTAGACGGTGATTAACATGTTCTGGTTTCTTATCTCTCCCGGATTAGAAGAGGAGAAGCTAAGAAGGGAATAAGATCATTGAAGTTCGTATTAGAGTCGCCATGAGTGCGCAATGTTTCAGATTATAAGGCATCTGATCAATAGGCTAAAATATATCACGTTTCAACATCCTGTATAAAATACGAGATCCCATCCAATCGACCAACCAACCAACCAGGGATGGGCAGCGAATTATCCCCGAGAATGAGTGCTTGACCATCGCCTGTTTGAATCTACTACTGGGGACCACACTCCCCCAGTGTCGACTCGGTGATCTTGTTGAGGATCGCCCGAACCATGGCGCCGTCTTCGCGTCCATCTGCTTGGTCACCATCGATCGCTTGAATTAGGGTCAGTGCTTTGGCTCGCAATTCTCGGACCACGTCCCGCGTGTGCGCAAAACTGCCAGTGCTCTCCATGTAACTGACTGCATACAGTTTGACTTCGTCATCTTTCGTCTTTTGCTTGAGAATACTCAGGAGCTGGTGGTTTCCGGGGTTGGATCGGATACTATGAATGATGGGAAAGGAGAACTTTCCCTCCGTGAGATCTTCACAAAGACCTTTGTTCTTGGTGTACGTAGTGTTGGACAGGTTGAGGTAGTCGTCGCAGATTTGGAAAATCAGCCCCATGACGTTGACGAGGCTCACGCAGTCCTTTCCGGAGCTACTTTCAGCCTGCATCAACTTCACTGCAAGTCGGAACAAACCCCCAGTTTTGTTACCGACCATTTCCAAATACTCGTCCTCGCTGGGGCAAGTCAGAGTATCTCGCCAGAAGAGATCCATTCCTTGACCGCGGTGTAGGTTCAATAACTCTTGGACGTAGATGTCAATCGCAGCGGGGTTGTTCAACTTTTGCACCTCTTGCAGAGCAAGGAAATATACATAGTTCGCAGAGTTGATGGTTTGCGCGGTGCCGTATATGTTATGAGCTACGGGAATACCGCGTCGCAAAATAGAGTTATCCTCGACATCATCGATCCTGGCTCATACGCCATAGGTCAGGTAGGTGTCCAGACTAAACCGAGGCACGATGAAAACAGCTTACAGTAACGATGCAGTATGAAGCATGGCCACCACCTTTGTGATGATTGAGAGGCTCTCCGGGGGTACCTTCAACCATACGTTGAAAGCGTTGATAAGCTGCCGCCGTATGTCTTTGCCGGGGTGCTGTAGCATATAATCGTATGGTCCCAGAACGATTCTCTCATTATCTGGCGACCATTGTCCATCCTTGTATTTGGTTCCATCGACGCTGGAGCGATTACGATTGTGCATGCGCGAGTGGTTCGTGTTTGTTGGGAGCCCATCTTCATCCGGGCCTGTGTGATCCATGGCTGGGCTCACCAGGAGATCAGGCTTTCCTAGGCTAGCTCCGCCCTTGCCGTCAATGGAATTGCCTGTGAGGGAATATAATCCAGGTTGAGAAGATCTGCTAGCAGAGAAATCTGGAAACGGCCCTGCAGACATGGCTTGATTGTTAACTGCTTGCGTGTTCTACAGGTGATCACTGGGGTCTCGTCGCGAACGGAGAGAGAGGGGAGGGGGTCTTCGGCGAGCGGACAATGCTGTAACAACCAGGCAACCGTGAGAAAAGGGAGGAGTGAGCAAGCCCATCTTACAGGTATCAGGAATAGGGCGCAGTTGCACTAAGTAAGTTCCACGCCCTGCGAGAATGAAGAGAGGAGTAACCTTAAAAGGGTGGATTGCAGGCTGCGTTTGCTTTTGCTTTCGCTTTCGCTGCGGGGAACTCAGCCAAGTGACGAGGGAGCATCACATGCCAATATTGCTTTCCCCAGCTGGGGTCACATGACTCTGGGTCGGCGAAACTGGGAAACTCCGATCCGGTGACAGGCTGGAATGCCTCTCCTCACTTCCTCCCCTTCCCCTCTCTCTCTCAAGTTACACCAGATTCCCCTCCTGTGTGATTCCGTGTGACAAGTGTGACGAGTGTGACGGAATTTTTTTTCAATTCTACTGTCTGCAAGGGGTGGTGACGTTTGAGTGGTTGCACCAGCCACGAGCAGCAGGTTGTCGTGGGCACGGTCGGTGGGCCTGTAAACATTCAGTCCAAACTATGCTGGAGACTGTTTCCGTGTTGGCTGTTATACTGACCGACTTCTTCAAGGAACTCTTTGCAACCCAACGGGTGACGGCATGATAACCCTCAGGCCTTTATCATGGCCAGGGATTGACTTAGTGGCGTAGCTGAAAAATGGATCCCCTTTCTTGACATCATTAGCTGAAGGCTATCAAGGAGATCCTGTTCTTCATGGCGTCTCCGTAGCACGCCTATTGGAACACGATCGTGCGTCTCCGGGACAACCATCGGGTGTTTTTGTCGGATGTGGGGGAGCTGCAGTCACTAAGGCTGCCCAGTGACCGAGTCTAAATCGGCTCGATCAGCTTCTCACGATGACAACAACTATTTCTTCGCTAGTTGATCGAGCCCACTGACTATCGCTCACCAATCACTGTAGCCTTTAATTAAGGCCCCCATTTTCCAAGCGCCTGGGCTCAGCCGTGTTCGATTATTTTTCTGGCTCCTCTCTCTTAAGTTAAGGTACTACATATAGATAGCGCCGTATCTCTTGGCCCAGGGTCCTTTGCGATTGACAGATCACGGCCCGTCCTTTTCTTTTTCACCCGTTTCCCTTCACCTGCAACCTAGTTCCTTTTTTTCCCCTGTTAATTCTGGAAATAGCCGTGCTACTCATCACTTCTGCCTTGTATTACCCATGGAGGCTTTGCTGGCACACTCGTTCGATTACCTTTCCTCTTACGAACCAAGCAAAGTTCGCAAAGGGCTGCGGCAGGTCGAAGGGCTTCTCGCACAGATTTGTTTATCCAAGACGAAACGCCCGTCGTCTGACAAACGGCGGTCCCTTTTGTCTTTTGGGGCTCCACAACCGGTGCCCAAGTCTTTGGCCGAACTTCGAGATGACCCGGCCTTCAGGGAATTTTTCAAGCTCCAAGAGGGGTTTCAATGGAATGGTAAGTTTCGCTATCCGCAGACTCGCGATTATGTGAGTTCCCAACACTAATGCACTGCAACCAGTCGCAATGCGCTTGGTGACATGTCTCGAACACCTGCTTGGGCGGGGGAGCAATGGCACCAATGACCTTCTCATCGTCTCCACACTCGATCTGATACAGGGCGTGCTCCTCCTTCACCCTCCATCGCGCACACTATTCACGCGCGAAATCTATATGAACCTGCTGCTGGACCTCCTCGACCCAATCAACTGCCCCGCCATCCAGTCTGCGACCCTTCTCACCTTGGTCACGGCTCTTTTGGACCATCCCGCCAACACCCGCACGTTCGAGGAGCTTGACGGACTGCTCACGGTGACCTCGCTTTTCAAACAACGTGCAACATCGCGTGAAGTCAAGCTCAAACTTGTCGAGTTTCTCTACTTCTACTTGATGCCGGAAACACCCATGATCCCCACCAGCGCGGCCAGTGCGCCTAACACGGCAGTCCTTGGACATCAACGGAGTCCAAGTAAACTTGGTGTTTCCCCGGTCTCCCGGAGTGTAAATGTTCCCGGCGCTCACGGCGGCGGAAAGGCGCATCGGGATACACGTACGACCGACGAGAAGCAAGCATTGCTGGGCCGGTACTTGAACAATGTGGAGGATTTGGTCGAGGATTTGAAAGAAACAGCACCCTTTGGAGCAACAGTTTATTAGCGGTGTTACGAGCGTCATTGGGTTCTGAATCTCTTCGTTTATGTTGAGCGTGCATGGATAACGGTATCATGGCTGGGGTTCTCTTTCTTCAATGGTTTCTTTTTTCTTGATATCCTCAAGTTTCTTTTTTCCTTTGTTCCTCTATTTCCTTTGTCTCTTGTTTACTCTTCTTCAGCCTTTCCCGTCTGGTACGGTCTATGCATCCGGCACAACAGCCTCTAACCTATTTCTTCCCTCATTTTTTGTCAACGCTTTTCCTATATGACTCATGCATCCGCTTGATGTCTCATGTGTCACGTTGCGATCATGTCTTTATAATTTTATGCGACCCTGAATGAATTGTTATGAACGAGAATGGCTTTTTTCCCATTGAGTAGTGCCATGCCTGGGCCGGGCCAATGCATGTCTTAGACCCGAGCTCCGGCAACATCTCATCCAAACTTTCTGAGCCACATCGCTGTGGAAACCACAAATCTCTTGTACAATCCCATATTTACTTACTGATGTATATGTACAATATATCGCCTACCTACATAGCTGTCTATTTGAAGGTCTATGTAGTTATTCCAACCCAACTCTACTCAACAACCAACCTCCATTCTGCAAAGTCTGAAAGACCCCCTCGGGATCATACTTCCTCGCTACCTCCTTCAACCGTCTCACGTTCTCCCCACCATAGCTCGCCAACGGATCCTGATCCCACGCCGCATAGTTCGAATACTTGTAGGGGAGATACACGCCCGTTTGCTTTGCCGCGGATTCCGCCGCATCCACGATTTTGCGCACTGCCTCGCGCACGCGATCCTCATCTTGAATATTCTTCCAGTCTGCTCGGGCGAGGAACCCTGTACCACAAGAATAGATCTATTAGCTACCAGAAGGAAACATAAGACGTGTTCTCCCTTCGGGGTATACGTACACTGCTGTCCAACGGGCTCCAAACCTAGAGGAGTTCCGCCATTCTTGAGCGTTTCTCTCATGGCTAGCGAGGACATGGGCTGAATGACGGTTGTTAGGGCGATGCCTTCTACGTCCTTGAGAGCTTCGGCTTGCTCAGCATGAGCTTGTTCGATGGCTTTGTAGACTTCTAGACTGGGACGGCTGGACATGGTGCGGAATTCGTGGCTGCAAGAGTTCTTTGGTTAGTTTGTTTCTTTGATATACTTTTCATGTTTAGAACATGTAAAGGGAGGATATATGGCATACACAGTAGGCTCGGCTTCATTCACGGACGCCACGGCCTGAACTAGATCGTAAACGGTGCGGATTCCCGGGGGTACGAAGCTAGTGAGAAAAGGAATGTCATAGAAGGCCTGGAAGACGGGAGGATTCTCGACGGGCGCGCAGTAGAAATAGACGATGAGAATGATGTCGTTTGTGGCGTTCCAGATGAGAGATGCCCTGTTGTCTGTTTCAATGGCCTCGTGGTATTGCATTAGAGCGGCGCGCAGTTGGTCAGCTGCCGTGAGGGGGTAGATGCGAACTTCGGTCCATATCTGGTTGGGGATAGTGTTCATTTCGATCTTAGTGACAATTCCTGGGAGATGGTGGATTAGACATTTGATACTGAATAGTAATACGACCGTAAATGCTGGTGTTGCTGGTCATAGATTAGGGTGATTGTGGGTGGTATAGTACCGAAGTTGGGCCCGCCACCCTTGAGGGCCCAGAATAGATCGGAGTTTTCGCGGGCATTGGCATTTATGATCTGGGAATTGGCGAGAACGACCTGTTCAGTGATTGTTAGCTCCTGTGTTCTTCATGGGATGAAGCGAGGAGATTATACTAACTTCGTAGTTGCAGACACCCATGGCACCGACGCCATACTGACTATTCTGGAAGGAGATGCCGCCGCCGAGCAACAAGCCGGAAACCCCCACGGTAGGCACTCTTCCTCCTGCAACCGCCACTCCGTGCTCTTCAAGAGCGCGATACACTTCCAACCATCTCAATCCGACGCCAATTTCTGCCGTGGATTTATCTTCAGCCACACGGACTTGGTCAAATGCTCCGAGGGAAATGACCACGCCGTCCTGGTTGCTGGTGAAGCCCGGAATCTGCAAATGGCCCCCACCCCGGATGGAGAACTTGACGTGGAAAAAGCGGCACAGCGCCAGCGCAGCTGCAACTTGTTGGGCAGATCCGGGACGGACAATTACCCGAGGTTGAAGCCAGCAGTTGGTAGACCTGGCTCGATTGTGGTGGTTGGTAAAGGCATTCTTTTGGTGGTCGTTCCAAAACTATAGACGTACCAGGGAACTATACGCTGCGGCTCATAGCCATTGGACCCGTGCACGACGGCAGCTGCGCCAAAGAACAGGGGGAAGACGGCAGCAACGTAAGAGGCCCGTTCCTGGTCTTGTTCTGCAGCTGACAGGCTGTCAAATCGCGATAAGAGGGTCTCTATATGCGTGGCCTTCTCTTGCTCTAGATGGCAGGCGTTGGCGACGATCTCCGCGACTACCTCAGCCATTGTGTGATCTATGCACGAGCTATAGATGCAGGTAGTTGTCACACACCAAATTTTGAGGAAGTAAAAGAAAAGAAAGGCGACGAAGACTGAGAAGAAGGCTCCTGTTACTTGAATTCCGTGATCCGAATGGTGGATATCGGCTGGGAACCGACAAGACGCTATCTGCGCCGGCGTCTTGAGCGATCCTGCCCCCAGGATTCAAACCCCTGTCAATGTTTGACAAGCCTCGAATTTAGAGCCTGAAAATCCTAAGTTCGTGTTTCATTTGTACGTTAAAGGTATTGGCATCATCGACTTGCATTCCTTCGTGGTCCACAGCACCCCAGCCAAATAGTCTAGAAATGATGGCTCTCCCCGATTTTGCATTCTCTTCTCTGTCCATCCTGATGACCACCTCTGCTTTGGTGCGTGAGAGCCGGTCAGGATGGGTGGGTCTATCGAGCAACAGGACGATGTGCCAACATCGTCCATGACCATCGCGGTGCGGATTATTGTGTTGGTGCTGGCGATTCCGACAACCTTGGTGTGTGTGCTTCGAGTATGTTTCCTCAACATTCCTGCAAGCAATCTGGAGGCCAAAATGACTGAGCTGTTGTAGCTGTATCTGCGCAAGTTCGTTCTTAATAACTTCGGACTTGATGACTGGTTGGTGCTGGTTGCTCTTGTGAGTTACGCAGCCGGTAATATTTCCCCGCGCATGATAACTGACTGACTAGATCGGAGTGGATCTGTTCTCTGCCCTGGCGTATATCATCACATACTATGGATTGGGCCGACCTATGAAATATGTTCCTACAGATCATCTGGTTGTGTTTCTCACGGTTCGTACATCGAGGCCGAGAGCTTTTACCCAAACTGATCTTTGCAGCTCGAATACGCCTCACAATGCGCCTACCTAGTCATCGCAGCGACTGTAAAAGCGAGCCTGCTCATCTTCATCATGCGTCTGTTCCCGACTCGTTTCGTTCACATTGCCGGGAAAGCTCTTCTTGGTATCATCGCGGCCTTCACCCTCTCGGGGACCCTCGCGCTGGTCTTTCAGTGTCGCCCAGTCCAAGCGGCCTACGACAAGGCTATCACCAATTCTAGCTGCTATCCCACTGAGACCTCGTACGCAATTCTTATGATGCAAGGTGTCATCATGTTCGTGCTAGATGTATCGATCCTAGTACTTCCGATATGGCCTATCTGGCAGTTGCAGATGCCGATAAGGAGGCGAATACTTGTGCTGGGGCTGCTCTGCATTGGTAAGCTCTCGAGGGAATTCAATAGTCCATTAATTAAGTATTGTCCAGGCTTCACCGCATGTGTTGCTGCCCTCGTGCGCTTCTCGACACTAAAATTTGCCAATGATACGACGAACTTCACCTGTATAGTTCCTTCCAATGTCGGCGGGAGATAAAAACTGACTTCCCTTAGATTCAGCTTCCACGTCCCTCATTTAGATGGAGATTGAATTCAATCTCGGCCTTATGTCAGGGTCTCTCCCCTCTTTGCGAAAACTTTTCAAGCTTGGCTCTCTTTTCCCCACGAGCCGCTCAACGAAGACACAGCAAAGTTATACATCGGACTTCGAGCTGCACCGGCACAGTTGGACAATAACTGGGATTACAAAGAAGACAGAAATCCAGAGGGCCTACGAGAGAAGTGAGAGCCAGGAGTTCATTGCCCCAATATATGGGCAGGGAGAATTGACCACAACTACCAAAGCCTATGCGGATGGGGAGACAAGCTCTGCCAGTAATGTTTGATGCCCGGGCCGTGATGGCTAATGTGTGGGATCTGTGACTCGACGATGTCAATGGAGACATCCAAAGTCAGAGAAGGTCGGATCAGGCTCGAGAATTCTATCCGTGAAAATTCGATGTATTGAATGCCTATTACTGCCTCCGTTAATGCCGAGCCGGTCGGTGTATGAGGGTCAAGCCAACGTAATGCCCGTATATCCCGGATTGGCTTCCTATACGCGAAATTGACCTGGCTAGCGTGAAGGTTAATACTTTACCAGCCCACCCACTGGCAGGAATATAGACAGAGACTGGCCAAAGTGTTCCCTACATTATTGATATTGCTCGACCGGACCTTGTCCAAATGGTTTAATCGGGGTATATGACTATAACTGATTTCTTTGAGGCGGAAGCCTGTTTCAGTTCTAGTTAGGTAGCATTGACACATATAAGGTGTTATTGTACAGTGTAATTAGAGGATTCTGTCACAAATCCATCCGTCTAGAAGAACTTGAGGAGTCTGTCACGATGTTGTACAAGGTTCTCGTGTTGGCGCAGCAACTGTCCCAGCCGATTCCGTCGCCACCCCAGTTTCTCCTCCAGGATTAGGTGTGTGTATGCGAAAACACTAGCATCGAACAGACCCGGATTCGGTCGGTCGAAGAAGTGTTGGTTGTCGCCCAGTAGCGTAGACAGTGCCTCGAATGCATCGTTGGCTTCGGCTTCCAAGGCGCCCACATCGATATAAGATGACGTTTTTAGGATCTCTGTCCGGGCAGCTTGCTGGAGTTGCAGGGCGAGAGCGGTCCGCACGGCGGAATTTGTACTGGACGGGTTCACGTATAATGGTCGAGCAACGGCCTCGAACTCCTCAGGGTCCAGGTATAAGGTATATAGCTGCCCCAGTGCCATTCCAGTCAGTCACATTTCATCTATCGACATTTCATTCCGGGGGAGGGGGACCGCAACGCACCCAAGCATTTCGTATCCGATGATCCAGCAACGACGCATATACCTCGAAGCGCAGATCCAACTGCTGCTCCTCCTCGCAGTGCACTTGCTCAATGGCCCATTTTTGGAGCTTGCTGGAAGGAATAGGGGCGTTGTTGTTGATGGGGTGGGCGGGGATCAGGAAAGGAAGGGCGCCAGAGGGAGATGCATGGTTGTTGGAAGGAATCACGTCGACGTCGATCCCAACGAATCTTAAGTATGCCTGCAGAGACGCAGAGAAATAACAGATTAGTGATGATGTACTGGAGACGTGGTGTAATGCTGCATTTCGGAGTACGTACCTGCCACTTGAGACACTGTGGGTTGAACGACGGTCTGCCATGCCTGGCACTTGCGGCATCGGTGAAGACATACAGTCGATTGCCACGTTTATCTGACCATGCGCTGTGCGGGAGATCATTGGAGGGGTAGGTGACGAGGGGGAAACGGTCGAAGATGCGCTTGATTGGTGTAGGAACGGAGAAAAAGTCTCGAGCGCGCGACACCGTGCTCACATTGTCCGGTGTCTGGCCAGGGTCATCACGGTATTCGGGGGTCATTGGATTAATGGATGGATGGAGGGGACTGCGCAATGGGTTTAAGAGACACGGCGGAAGAGCTCGGGGCCAGTTTGATAAAGCCGGGGAGTTGGCGACAGGGCCAGCTAGAAGACGAGAGGTCGATGTAGGTTTGTTTGTGTTTGATGAACAGAGGAACAGATCCGTTCTCGCCCAACTATTTACTTAGTTAAATTCGAGTTGATCTTGTTATTCGCCGGCTGATAATCTCCGGCCGCCAAGCCCGCGCAGGAGCACCCTTTTGTGTGCCTCAGGCATAAACACAGGATAATGCTGCCTGAGGTTGCCAATGGGATGCCACGCGTTTGAAGCCTCTTATCGGCTTATCGCTAAGTTTTGCTCCGCCGTTCGGACGGCAACGGAGGCCCTCCATCACCTTTCTCTCTTTCTCTCTCGGTTTGATCTTCCCCACGGCATTCCCCTCAGCAATTCCAATTACTTGATCTCTTGCGGGTTTGTAATCACTTGCTGCAGCATTCTTCTTGTCCCGAGCAGCAATCCCTCGGCCACGCCGGGTTGACCTTCGTCTCTTCCCCGCCTTTGGAATCCATCCCACCGGCTGACCTTGCGCTCGTTCGAATCCGTCGCTGGTCCAACCCGTTCCAGCCTCTCTTTGTCATTCCACTCGTGGTGTGCATCCTGGTCCACCTTCGCTTCGAGGGGAAGAACTTGTTTCCTCAGGAGACTTGCGCCGCAATTACCTGTGCCCAACACACTACTTATTTCTTTTCTTCTCTTCTCGTGTTGTGATTGACCGAGTTCTTACCAAAGCCTGCTTGCGGCCGTGGTACGATCAGACCTACCTGCGGGCGGGGTAAGGCCATTTGCACACTCATCTCACCTATAAGCCCAGACCCTCTGCTCGGTTTACTACTCGGCACACTCTCAGCTGATGCTGCTCTGGGCTAGTTATCATGCCTCTCGATGAAGAAGGGGCCAAATGGTCTTGGTATGACTCTTTCCGCCGGTGAAGAGGCTCTCTGCTAACCAGATCCTTCCACTAGTGAGCCATGTATCCGTGGCCATCGGTCCTCGAAATGCCAGCACTTCGACAGGATGATGATGAAGGTCCCAAAGGCCGGACGACCGCTTGCTAGATGCCCTCATCCGAAGGGAACTTGCAGCTGCCAGAAACTATATGCGTTCATGATCCGCATCCCCAAAGGTGGGTAAATGCGACGGATATGGCCTATCGTTTATCCTTCGGTTGTAGTCGCGTCTTTGGTGACTGACTTCGACTGTGCCATGTAGGCTCGACTTGCTTGTGCAGACCAGTGTACCAAGTGCCTGCTGATGCGGCGGAATCTGCTTCAACCACCCCGATTCCTGCTCCTCCGATGCCGATTGCTGCTCCCAATAAAATCCAGAAACCCATCAAACGACAAGTCAAGACGGCCCCAGAGAATCTTACCAAAGCCTTGAACTCCATACCAGAATTCGGAAACCAGCAATTGGAACATGGAAAATTGGGCCGACCATCGCCTTATACGGCTCAGGAACAACGTTTGAGCAGTTCATATGATATCATCAAGCAAGAACCAACTCCCTCGCACAAGGCCTTCGAGCGCGCTAGCGAAGATAAGGCGCCGCAGGGCGGCAGCTGTTGCTCTCGCAAGCCCCAGCCCTCACAGACTATAACTCCGGAGGTTCAAGCTCCCGCGGTTCAACGTTCCTGTTGTAGCAAGTCCAAGCCGGCGGCTCAAGACGTCGAGATGGAAGGCAGCATTCTTAACAGTTCTGATTACTTCCACCCTCCAGTCTTTGACAGCGATAACGCAAGATACACCCCGAATTCTATTCCTCAAGTTTCGACATGGCAGGATTTCCAAGCAGCGAAGCAGAGCCAGTACATGCAGCCTTTTGCATTGCCCGTATCCGAGTCCGGTTATCTTCCCATGGCCGGACCTGCCGCAGATATTCGTCCTAAGCCACTAGACTTTCAGCATCCGCCTGCTTTCAACAACTATGATCTCTTCAGCAACCAGACTTCTCAGCAACCGTCGGAGAATACGCAGAATGTCGTTGCAGATCCAGAAAGTACTGCTAGCGATGACGCCCATGACTGTAGCTGTGGCGATGGTTGTCAATGTCTGGGCTGCGCGTCTCACCCGTTCAACAACACTACACGACAGCATGTCCAACAAATGGGCCTCCTGGTGGCCCTGAATGATGATGAGCAAAGCCCCGAAAGGCTGAACAGTCATAGAGGCTCCCCTCTGCAAAGTCAACCACCAGACTTCTCATCATTACAATATTCCCTCACAAACTTCGGAAATCCTCTGGGTGAAGGCTTTCACCCTGTTGCAATGCACCCATATGCCCAACAGGGTACGGATCCAAGTCACGTAAATAATGGCTATTCTTCTCCACCTGCGGATTATCTAGGACAGCAGCTCATGGTGCCGTCAGAGTACTATACTCTCGAGTACCCAGTGGGGCTGCCTAGTGCTTGCGTCGATACAACTGGAAGTTGCCAGTGCGGGAATGACTGTACCTGTGTTGGCTGTCTCACCCACAGCGGACACAATGGACTGCCTCTTGAGCCCGCCATGCCCGAGAGCAACTGGGACCACATGAATCTTCCAGGTTTCTCCATGGACGCCGCTGGGCACAGCCCGTCGCAGATGCCCGTGATGGATAACTTTGTCGCTCATTCGAACTCTATGCTGTAGTACCCCGCTTTTCAGCTGCGATTGGATGCAACGCGACTCCACCTTTCTCTCACTCTTATGCCCTTCCTTTGCTTTTCCCGCGATCAAGTTTCTACTCGGATGACCGATGCTTGTTCATGATACCCCTTTCACATAGACGTTGGATGATAGAGGATACAAAAGTCTTTTCGTCCTCTCTATTATTGTATATATTCCTGAGCCATTACTTGCGTTTGTCTAGAGTCTCAAAAGCACGGACCAATCTCCTCCCCCAGCTCTGCGAGCCCTTGTCTTTCTCTTATCGCCTTTTGTTCTATGCTGATTGGCACAACATCTGTAAGAACTATCGTAAAAGAGACTTAGGTCTGGACCTAACGCAGCAAACTGGAGAGAAGCCCAGTAGTGTGATCGTGTGATCAGACAGACGGTCCTTGATGCTAAGGATTAGCTACTATAAAAGCAACATTACAGATGCCTCAACACAGTTAAAAGTGGTAGCACAACGATGAATTGGATGCTAAAGTAGGAAAAAGTCTAGAGAGACCATTTCAAACACGACGAAAGATGTTCTTGATGCAGCTCATTTTCCTTCCCAGCTATACAGGTATCATACAGAAATGGAGGCCGAGCTGCTCTACCTACGCAGGGCATCTCTGACCGGAGAGTCGCCCCGACGGAAGGAGGCTGCAGAAAGTTAGCTAGGACAATTCCTTCCCGTAGTGCGAGAAAAGGGATCTTGGATGCAGTTGCATGAACGTACCGTCAGCTTCCTCCCAAGCACGTCCGGCACCGAAGCCGAGACCAACCCACGCGGGCCAAGCTCTCCGCTTGAAGAGGAGCACGGAGAAGACAACACCGAAGGAGAGACCGAGGGAAGAGCGGATAATGAGGGAGGAGATGGCGCGATCCCACTGTGCATTGAGAAGTTCCGTATTAGCCCGAGCACTACTGACTACACTTCCCGATGACATATGTGCGTGTGTCCCGCAGTTGCAATTTGCGGATGGGGTTGTTCAAGGGCGGAGAGGTCCGGAGGCTCCATGACAGGCCCAACCAACAAGACCATTCAACATCCAGACGGAACAAAGCGATCGATGGGAACTTCAGATGGTGGTGTAAGTACCTTTTCGTTCAGCAGGGCCTCGCTGACGGGCTTGGTGGAGCGTGGGACCGGTGCGACCGGCTGGGATTCGTTGGAGTCGGCCATGGCGATAAGAGCTGAATGTCCGAGAGTTAATTCAAAGACCCAAATTAGGGGTCAATTGGATCGACAGGGACCTGACTGACCTTCGGCAACAGACTACAGAAGGGAGGGTTAGAGATGCAAGCAAAGGAATGAGAAACAAGAAAGAGAAGGAGAGTCGATGGGCGGACGAACTGATCGGGAGGAACGTTTCGAGCTCTGCCGGGCTAAAAGGCGGTCGGAAAAACTAGGCAAAGCGCTCTCCGCTTTCTGGCGTCAGTCTTCAACTTTTTCGACTTTAAGGAATCCCTCACTGGTGGCCCCCCGCAGAAAAAAACGTCAAAGACGAAACCACTCCCCTCGGACTATGTTCGATTAGTGTTGACGCGGTGGCACCGAGGATCTTGGGGAAACCGGTACTTTACGATCTGACTCGTCTCATCCGAGATGCCTTCGGTCGCGGAGGTATGTGTTGGCTCGCGGTCTTTGGAGCATTTTTTGGTTGTATGCAACTTGGGTGTTCGGCTAACCTGCTGGGATTGTTTCTCTCTATACAGCGCCCGCGCTCCTCCCAGGAGGCTTTACTCCGCCTCGAGAAAGGCACCGCGTCCCCGACCACACAGCTGGACGAAGCAGCTCAGATCATCGGCTTGGATCTTGCCCTGTGTGCGAGTCACCCTGAGATTAATCGAACCCCTCATGTTCAGAATAATGCCGCGCCGAAGGAGGAATGGGTGCTCCGGTGGTTGTTGAAGAAATTGCGAGCGGGCAAGAATTATCGCGTCGACTCTACCTCTTTTCTCCTCCTCCGACAGTTGATCGACCTGATTCCGCCAAAAACCCTGGCTACGACTCTGAAGGACCAGAAATTCCTCGCGATTTTCGACCAAGCCGTTGCCGACCTGGAGGAGGATGTATTCGCTGCGTTGAAGGCGGGGACGACTGATCTACTGCCCTCCGATTCGGATTCGAGTCATACCTTGAGCGATTCTCCGCACCGCAATGGCGATTACGATAAGAAGGGAACGAAGAGAAAAAGGGCCGGCGACGATGAAGCAGACGCCATGGATGTTGACGACCAGCCACGCACGCCGATCTCGTGTTTCCTGGCTTTTATTCGCGCCTTGGATTGCCTGTATAGCCTGATCATGCTGGCGAATCGGACTCTGGGAGTGGACGAGGTTGCAAGCTCCCATCTGAAGCATGCTCTGAAGGGTGAGCCAGAGTCAAACGCAGTGACGCTGCAAAAGTCTTTCCGACTGGCTGCCGTGATTTCGACGCAATTTTCCCATGCGCGCAAGACGACGGACCTACAACACCTCCTATACGTATTTCCTGCGGTCTTGGAGCTGTGGGAGTTGAGGTCTTCTCGTCGGGATGACTCGGATAAGGGACTGAGTAACGAGTGCTTTGCAAAACATTGTTTCCAGAGCGCACTCAGACTGCAGGTCTCTGTTCGTTCGATCCGACTCGACACCGATGAGAGGGCTCACGTACTGCATGGGGTAGAGCGCTTGATCGCTCTGCATGTGGTCATACCGACACGCGGGGGATTCTACGAGCGAGGAGGTGCGGGTATTGACTATTCAGCCAGTGAACCGGATTGGAGTCCTGTTAAACCCATCTCTGATACGCTTAGACCTATCCTCTGCAGACCAGAATGCCCGACAGAGACTGCAGAGGACACCACTGTGCAGAAGAAAATCATGTGGAAAACAGCAGAATTACTCCCGGAATTCTTCGACATAGCGGTTCGTTCGGTTCCAAGAGATACTTTTCGGAGACAGACACACGAGGCGCCATGGCTGGAGACTCTGTTCGTTGCTATTGCAGAGCTGGCATTTTCAATTGTAAAATCTGAAAATACAACCACTTACCTTCCTGAATTCGTCGGCATTTTGGAGCGTCTCTTCCGTGTGGTTCTTGTACGCAACGTGCAGTTGTCTCTACATACGTTGCTCACTCACGCTTCTTACACCGGACTCCTCAAGGATGGGTTGTCGCAGATCGAATGGAATCTTACATCTCTGCTTGTTGAGCTCGGTGTTGATATCTTCCTCCCTAACTCTGGTCTCAGTGACTCAACAAAATTGCTGAAGGCTCTGCTGGAGAAGATCTTCTCCCATTGGCGCAGCGGTACGCCCCAACGTGACGGCAGCTATGAGACCATCAAGAACGGCATTGTTATCCCTCTGCTGCGTGGTTTCGTAGCCGCTCGAGACTTGCCCACCTTCATGGAGTACTGGTACGAGCAGCTCATCGAGGTTGAAGAGGCACGGTCACAAAACAAAAACTTGGACTCCTTTATTGTTTGGGAGGACGATGACGTGTGCAATGCATATGGCGATGTAATGCGAAGTCCTCTCACTCACACATTTGCAGCTGCGCAGCTAAAGGCAGCTGCGGTGGAAATAAGGAGCGAGGATGGGAAGATTTCCGATGCGCCCGGTGCCTATGCGCAGTTCGTTATCCTAGAGTCTGGCTTCAGATATCGTGATCTGAGCTTCGCGGACAAGAACGAGTCTCTTAGCTCTGTCATTCACACCGCGGCATCTACCTTGTCGTCGAAGCAATCCTTGCATTGGCGATGGCGGCTGTGGCGCCTCGCTCGAAACCTTCTCGAAAACAATGTTCAGTCCACCGACAATGATCTTGGAGTTGCGATTATGCACCTGGTTGATACAGGTGCAGCGACTATTCGGCGTCACCATAAGGATCGGTTGCAGAAACCTTGGGCTCCATTGGAATGTTTCGAGGCATATCAATTTACGCTTGCCGCCATCAAGGGGTCGCTGGACAACGATCAGTTCAAATCGCTTACCAGCCAAATTACAGAGCTGGTCAAATCCATCTCCGACAAAGATGCTTCGGATGCGATTGTATCACCCTGGAATGGGCGCATCGAGACTCTAAATAGGCCGGACACTCTTGCCCTGGCGTATTTTCTGACGCTTGTCAGAAGTCCAGATGTTTGGGATCGGGTTGAGCCTGAAACTAGACGCTCTTTGTTTGGTCATATCCTCTTTTTGGCAACATCTCAGTACAAGATATCACCGTCGGCTTTGGAGACTATTAGCCCTGAACTCAGATACCTTCAGGCCTGGGCTGGCGTTGTCTGCCATGAGTATCTGCTCAGCGCCCCGGCCATCGCGTCTGATCTAATCTCCGTGCTTTCGAGCCGGGTTAAGGAGGACATCACGAATCGTAAACTCTATGTTGAGAGCTTGCAGAGGATTCCTGCCCCACTTATCGTGCGCCGTCAGAGAGCAATTTTGCTGGATCTTTTACAGGAGGTGATTGTCCAGGAAGACAGCACGCCTGAAGTCACTGTTGGAATGTTGTCATTGATGGCCAAGCTGGCTGATATGCCTAAATCTGCCGCGGCCGTCACCAGCAATTGGGAGCCAGTCTGGACGATTGCCAAGGCTGTCACCCTGCAGGGAAACGATGTTGATCTTCAAATCATGAAGGCGTTCCGCAATCTGCACAGAGCAGTCATAGCTAAGCTGCTTGTTCTGTCCGATGAAGAGCGTCATAAGCTGTTCAAGAAGATGTACCGCAAGGTCTCATCAAAGGCATCGAAACTACAAAACCTTGACCGTGACTCCATGGATTGCTTTTATCTGAGGATCTCTCTGTCTCAGCTATGGCACCACCGTAAGCAGCTTGTGACTGTCTTCGACGAGACAGATCTTGCAGCTTGCCGACAGAAGGTATTTGACCTGGTGGTTGTGGAAGTGAAGTCAGTCAAGGATCAGTGCAAGAAACAACAGCTGGAAGAGACGATTACCCTCATTAAGATCATTGATGCGCTGGAAGACTTTGAGGACCTTGCTACGGATCATGCCGAAGTCGAAAAGTTCCTGTCAAAGATCGAAAGTTACGTGGAGAAGTCGGTTGATTCGGGCTCCTCGCTGAGAAGGCTTATAAGACGTCGCGTCCTGGCCGGGCGCGGCTCTGAAAAGAGTATTACACAACCTGTGATCCAATGTGCCGAGGCCCTTCCGCTGCAGCATATGTACAGCGAGGAACAGCGGCTCTTCATCCGGTCCACCTCTGGAAGGTTTCAGTCCATGTCCGTAGAAGAGTTGACTCGAGTGATCCAAGATGTGCGGGAATTAGGCTTTGTTGGCGAGAATGCGGAGTACCATTTGCTTATTGCCGGGTTGGCGATTGCCTCGTTGCCTCCAATCGAGGACAAAGAAAGCCTCACGGCCAAAGAATTATCGTTGGTTTGCACCGCAGTAACCGAATCTCTTCCCCGCAACAAATCTATCGAGCAGTTTACTCTTGCGACCGAATGCCTCGACATCCTTCTTCGGAATTACACTCGCTGTATCACGCAATGGAACGTCGATAATATGCTGGGATCCATTGCAGTGTGCGCTTCCAAGTCGGGACCTTGCATCGACCCCGAATATGCGGGAACCGTCTATATCCGCCTGTGTCGCCTGATGGGTGTTCTCTTGGGTATCCACCGTCAGAAGCTCGGAGGCCGGTTCCACCTCATCCTGCCTGCTGTCGAACGACTGCTGGACTGTTTGTTTGCTCGGTCTAAGAAGCGCAGTCGATCCATGATCCATGAAAAGAAACTCGGTCAACAACCATACTGGCTTGCTCCTTTGCAAGCCTCGCATGCAGTTCACTTCACCCGTCTCCTCACGTCATTGTGCGACCCTACCGTATCCGCAGTGTCAAGACCGACCCAGTCCGCAGGTGGCTATGAGGGGCTGACCGATCAGACCAAAAAAGCCAAGCGAATCGCAGGACAGTACCTTCAGTACCTGA